TTTCACACCGTCATAATTTTATTAGTCTACATTTCGGCATAGCCGCAAAGGTATTTTGAATTGGTCGACGTTGTACGCGAACACCGAGTCTATTTAATACCGCATTTAATAAGCTGAAGATGCGCTAACTGTGCGACACTTTCAACGAGGACCGCAAAGCTAATATACTAAGTGACATATAAATCCGAACACCCAGTTTAAATGGTTTTATTTTAATAAAAGTTGGTGAATGTATTTATCTTACTGTAAATAACAAGTGAAAAATTTTTCAGCCTTATCAGTTGGACATTCCGGTTTTTATACTGCTTTTTTTTTAATTCACTAACGCTCTAAAAATGAATATTTCAGCCGCAGTAAAGAATCAACGTTGGCGGATTTTGGTTCTTGACATCCTTTACGATCGGTTACGATGCCTAGAGTACGGAGACCTGTACGATTTCGTCAACTTAGTGAGTTTGATAGGAGCCGTATAGTGGGACTTCGGGAAGCTGGACTTTCTTTTCGGGCAATTGCAGTTAGAGTGCAAAGAAGTGTAGACACTGTGGCTAGGTGTTGTCAGGCATGGCTTCGAGAAGGCCGTACGCAAAAAGCAAGGGGCACTGGACGCCGCCGTAGAACAACAGACCGTGAAGATCGCCGCCTAAGATTATTAGCCTTAAGGGACCGTTTCTCCACTACCAGGTCCATTGCAAATGAATGGTTTGCAGAACACGGAAGACCTATTGGCATGCGAAGTGTTTACCGACTAATGAGATGTTTTGGCTTGTTTTCATACCGGCCACACTGGGTCCTCCCTTAAACTCGAGAACACCGACGTAATCGCCTTGAGTGGTGCAGACAACGGTCACTCTGGGATCAGGAACGGAACAGTATTGTCTTTAGTGACGAGTCTCGATTTTGTTTAGGCATGCACGATGGTCGTGCCAGGGTTAGAAGGCGACGTGGTGAAAGGAGGAATCCACAGTTTTTTGTTGAAAGACATGTTCATCACACTGTTGGAGTTATGGTTTGGGGTGCTATAGCTTATGGTTCCAGGTCACCTTTAATCTGCATCAGAGGTAACATGAACGCGCAGCGTTATATCTACGAAGTTCTAGAACCCCATCTTTTACCCTATCTTGACACCCTGGCAGATCCAACTTTCCAGCAAGATAATGCCCGACCACATGTTGCAAGAGTCACAATAGACTTCTTTCAACATAATGATGTCACATTGTTACCATGGCTACCAAGATCTCCAGACTTATGCCCAATTGGGCACGTGTGGGATATGATGGGTAGGAGATTGCTCAATTTGCAACGTCCTCCTCAGACTCTAGAAGCACTTCGAGAGGAATTGGTGGTTGCCTGGAATGAGATACCACAGGAGGACATTGACCACCAGATCAGAAGCATGCCTAGGCGCGTTGGAGAATGCGTAGCACATCAGGGTGCATCCACACATTATTAAAGGTCAAAGGGCTTGAAAGCAGTGCAATCATTTTGAAATTTTTATCTTTACTTATTATGCTTCATTAAGTACTTATACAAAATTTTATTAAAATGAAACCATTTGAACTGGGTGTTCGGATTTATATGTCACTTAGTATATGTATAACAGTCTGCATCAACAACAAATCTACTGTAGTCACGACTGACGCAGTAACAAGTAGTGCAACTTTTTTTGCACAGGGAAACGCTTTTGTCGCCACTCTTAGAGAAAAAAGTTAGATAGTATTGCCCTTTCGGCCTCACTTACCCGAAGTGTGAGATCCTCCCGAAATGCAGCATACTTTCTAAAGCCCCTCAGTCGTTCGTTTCACATCCCACCACGGTGATGCTTGCAGCATTTCGTCATGGTGGGTTGCCCTAGCGTTGCGTGAAGTTCAGATTCTCTCTGTTGTGATACTGCTTCAAATACAGGTCGCATTAACGGTGTCTGCGTGCTTCTTGAATACAAAATGCTTATATTTGCTTGCCGCCATTACGTCTACGAATTGGTGTTAAAGGGCTAACTGTTCAGATGCATTCTTTTTATCGGCATGGATTGACCAAAGAAGCTGCTAGAGACGACTGTCAAGAATAAATAGTACTTTCAATAATATTCCTTGGCGGAGCTACAGAGAAAAAGATTCGACCGTCACGCGATGCATCAAGCTCGATGGATGAACCGAGACATCTATTCACTAAAAATAGCATTACTAGTCTAATAAGGATAAGGCAGCGTTGTTAGAAATCTGCCTGTTCACCGTGATACCGTACGAATTACGGCACTGCTATTATGATGTAGAGTTGCTTAGGTTTGCACTTTTCGATTCCTTTGTTCTAGCCTAGGTTATAAGTAAGAGAAGCATGTAAAACAATGTGACCAGTACTCAATCGTCTTCTGTTGAATAAGGTCGCTTTTTAAAAAGTCGTTCGTTGTTTGCACATTCATAATTGGCGCTGCGAACAGGATCAGCGTACCGAATCGATAATCGGCGGTATTGTTTCACGAGTATCGCTAATCGAGACCGAAAAACTGCCAAAAAATCGGGTACGATTTTAATCGTTTTGACGTCGATCACAAAGAACGTTGAAGGATGGACCGAGCAGGTCCTTCACCATCGAAGTACCAGGCCGAAATACTTGCTATTTAGGGAACAGGCAACGACACTTGAAAAAACGACAGGAGCGGACAGGAGCGAGGTTTGGTTTGGTTTGGTTCTCGAGTCGATAAACGGCGAGCCGGCAAATAAAATAGTCTCCGTACCGCGCGAAAAACCGCCGATTTTTCGACTTTACCGGCCGTTTTCGATCCGATTCGTTCCTCTTACCGCGACGGCTCTCATCCGCCCGTAAAGCGCCGAGTTTCTAGTTTCCGAAACGGTACCGCTTTCCTTCCGGACGTTTAGCGAAGCGAGAAAAAACCCGGAAAAACCGCGTCGATGTCATACGACAATTTCTGAACCCCTACCAATTACTACCAAATCGAACAATCGATCACCGCTTAATATATACTAAGTGACATATAAATCACCCAGTTTAAATGGTTTTATTTTAATAAAAGTTGGTGAATGTATTTATCTTACTGTAATTAACAAGTGAAAAGATGTTCAGCCTTATCAGTTGGACATTCCGGTTTTTATACTGCTTTTTTTTAATTCACTAACGCTCTAAAACTGAATATTTCAGCCGCAGTAAAGAATCAACGTTGGCGGATTTTGGTTCTTGACATCCTTTACGATCGGTTACGATGCCTAGAGTACGGAGACCTGTACGATTTCGTCAACTTAGTGAGTTTGATAGGGGCCGTATAGTGGGACTTCGGGAAGCTGGACTTTCTTTTCGGGCAATTGCAGTTAGAGTGCAAAGAAGTGTAGACACTGTGGTTAGGTGTTGTCAGGCATGGCTTCGAGAAGGCCGTACGCAAAGAGCAAGGGGCACTGGACGCCGCCGTAGAACAACAGACCGTGAAGATCGCCGCCTTAAGGGACCGTTTCTCCACTACCAGGTCCATTGCAATTGGATGGTTTGCAGAACACGGCAGACCTATTGGCATGCGAAGCGTTTACCGATGAATGAGAAGTTTTGGCTTGTTTTCATACCGGCCACACTGGGTCTTCCCTTTAACTCGAGAACACCGACGTAATCGCCTTGAGTGGTGCAGACAACGGTCACTCTGGGATCAGGAATGGAACAGTATTGTCTTTAGTGACGAGTCTCGATTTTGTTTAGGCATGCACGATGGTCGCGCCAGGGTTAGAAGGCGACGTGGTGAAAGGAGGAATCCACGTTTTTTTGTTGAAAGACATGTTCATCACACTGTTGGAGTTATGGTTTGGGGTGCTATAGCTTATGGTTCCAGGTCACCTTTAATCTTCATCAGAGGTAACATGAACGCGCAGCGTTATATTCACGAAGTTCTAGAACTCCAGCTTTTACCCTATCTTGACACCCTGGCAGATCCAACTTTCCAACAAGATAATGCCCGACCACATGTTGCAAGAGTCACAATAGACTTCTTTCAACATAATGATGTCACATTGTTACCATGGCCACCAAGATCTCCCGACTTATCCCCAATTGAGCACGTGTGGGATATGATGGGTAGGAGATTGCTCAATTTGCAACGTCCTCCTCAGACTCTAGAAGCACTTCGAGAGGAGTTGGTGGTTGCCTGGAATGAGATACCACAGGAGGACATTGACCACCTGATCAGAAGCATGCCTAGGCACGTTGGAGAATGCGTAGCACATCAGGGTGCATCCACACATTATTAAAGGTCAAAGGGCTTTAAAGCAGTGCAATCATTTTGAAATTTTTATCATTTACTTATTATGCTTCATTAAGTACTTATACAAAATTTTATTAAAATAAACTCATTTAAACTGGGTGTTCGGATTTATATGTCACTTAGTTTATTTTATGTACTTTAACATTTATTGTAATTTTGCTTTGTTTAAAAATGCAATTGCTCTCTCTTTTGAAGCAAGAAGTACCAAAAAATCATTTTGCAACAAAAAGCAAGATACTCCGAATATTTTAGGTATGTGCTAGACTAGAGAATATTCTCAGGAACTAGTATCAATCAACTTTTTTCCGAACAGATCGCAAGTCTCACGATTATACATGCTAAAGGCCTTTCTAGTGGACCTACCTCTCTACTAGTGACTATCATCGCCAGGTCGTCAGCATACGATATCAGGCGGATTTTGGGAGGCATCTTCCTTTTCCGTAGAACTTTTCCCAAAGCAACGTTACTTATACAATGTCCTTTCAATCAGGGTGTTTAAGAATGCAAATAATCTGTTTATATTCTGCATTCACTAGTAAGTGCATAAATGTAACCTCAAAATGAGGCTGCCAGTTTCTTAGCAGGTGAGAACGCAAAAGTAAATCAACTAAAGTCGCTTTTGTTAAGAACAGCCCCTCGTACCACCTGCCCATAATTTGCGTCTCCATTGCATGGAATAGATCATTCACGTAATATCGACTCGAACCCCGTTGGACGTGAAAATATTTCCGAGGCTCTTGTAAAGGATTATGGGTCTATCACTGTACAACAGAGATGCTTCAAGTATGCGGCAGCGAGTTCGCAACGCGAGCAAAACAAACGCGTCGTCGTCGATGGAACACGGGATGAAAGTGACAGGAGGCTGGTAGGAGGTGAGCTTAACGTCAAACCAAACAAAATTAAAGTTTTCCTCTTAGGCAGCGACCCGGTAAAACTGGCGTGGCATCTCGTTGCCTCTCCTCGAACAAGAAAACTTTTCCGCATCTAAGTTTTTCCGAAGGGGTTGTGTGCCGGGCTCCGCTGGGCACTGCGATGCTTCGATGCTTGCCCGCCCTCCGAGGGAACCTTACCGGAATGCCGCCAAATTTTAATATTGATACGCCTTGTCCTGACGCCGGGAGCGCAGCGCCACGGTTTTGTTTTTCTGTTTGTTGTAATTCAATTGATGGCTGAACATACAGGATATGATTGCTTAGCTCATTTTAGGAAGAAAAGTTTATGTGAACGTATGTCCTAAACCTATTAACTTATGAGCTACAAAAGTTTAAGAAAAGTTCGTTTTCTTATCATGACTTTGATACTGTTCTTGATATTTTCATGAAATTAAACAAGTCAAAAAGTTCATATGACCCATGGACCAAAAGTCAAGAGATTTTTGTGTAAATGGCTTTATAATTTATAACAAGTGCCTTTTATCGACCACAATCAACACAATCTTACTAATTTTTATAATCTAATCTTGACGATCAGGTAACTGGCACATTCGAGTTACTCCCAAAGTCGTCAGGAGAAGAATACCTTAGCTTTCTAGCCAATAACCTACCAGAATTTTTGGAACAGAACTTAGACAACATGCCATTACAACGGAGACAGAATTTGTGGCTTCTTCATGACGGGGCACCACCACACATTTTAGAGGCGTCATTCAGTATTTGAATGAACATTATCCAAATAAATCCTAAATCTGTTACCAGGTCAAAAAGTAAAATCCACCAGAAACTGGAATGCCAAATCAACAGATTTAAAAAAATCTCACCAGGAATTTTAAAAGGTAATTTAGAAAAAAAAATGCATTTGTAATATTTGTATATAATTTGTTAATTAAATTATTTAATAAAACACAATTCACTATACATTTCTTGATACTGGCGAAGGCCGTAATATACGTATATTATTTAGTTAGCTCCTACCTACGATCAGGGTTGAAAAAAAACGTGTTTAAAAATAAAAAATTATCATGTTTTTTTTCTTTAAAACTGTTTTCTTTTCGTATAAAATATTCAAATTTAGCTGAAAAAAAAAACTATTGCCCATATAATCTAGCAACTTTAATGTATACTAAGTGACATATAAATCCGAACACCCAGTTTAAATGGTTTTATTTTAATAATTTTTTTTATAAGTACCTAATGAAGCATAATGAGTAAATGATAAAAATTTCAAAATGATTGCACTGCTTTGAAGCCCTTTGACCTTTAATAATGTGTGGATGCACCCTGATGTGCTACGCATTCTCCAACGCGCCTAGGCATGCTTTTGATCAGGTGGTCAATGTCCTCCTGTGGTATCTCATTCCAGGCAACCACCAACTCCTCTCGAAGTGCTTCTAGAGTCTGAGGAGGACGTTGCAAATTGAGCAATCTCCTACCCATCATATCCCACACGTGCTGAATTGGGGATAAGTCGGGAGATCTTGGTGGCCATGGTAACAATGTGACATCATTATGTTGAAAGAAGTCTATTGTGACTCTTGCAACATGTGGTCGGGCATTATCTTGTTGGAAAGTTGGATTTGCCAGGGTGTCAAGATAGGGTAAAAGATGGGGTTCTAGAACTTCGTGGATATAACGCTGCGCGTTTATGTTACCTCTGATGAAGATTAAAGGTGACCTGGAACCATAAGCTATAGCACCCCAAAACATAACTCCAACAGTGTGATGAACATGTCTTTCAACAAAAAACTGTGGATTTCTCCTTTCACCACGTCGCCTTCTAACCCTGGCATGACCATCGAGCATGCCTAAACAAAATCGAGAGTCATCACTAAAGACAATACTGTTCCATTCCTGATCCCAGAGTGACCGTTGTCTGCACCACTCAAGGCGATTACGTCGGTGTTCTCGAGTTAAAGGGAGGACCCAGTGTGGCCGGTATGAAAACAAGCCAAAACTTCTCATTCGTCGGTAAACACTTCGCATGCCAATAGGTCTTCCGTGTTCTGCAAACCATTCATTTGCAATGGACCTGGTAGTGGAGAAACGGTCCCTTAAGGCCAATAATAATCTTAGGCGGCGATCTTCACGGTCTGTTGTTCTACGGCGGCATCCAGTGCCCCTTGCTCTTTGCGTACGGCCTTCTCGAAGCCATGCCTGACAACACCCAACCACAGTGTCGACACTTCTTTGCATTCTGACTGCAATTGCCCGAAAATAAAGTCCAGCTTCCCGAAGTCCCACTATATGGCTCCTATCAAACTCACTAAGTTGACGAAATCGTACAGGTCTCCGTACTATAGGCATCGTAACCGATCGTAAAGGATGTCAAGAACCAAAATCCGCCAACGTTGATTCTTTACTGCGGCTGAAATATTCATTTTTAGAGCGTTAGTGAATTAGAAAAAAGCAGATTAAAAACCGGAATGTCCAACTGATAAGGCTGAAAATTTTTTCACTTGTTATTTACAGTAAGATAATTACATTCACCAACTTTTATTAAAATAAAACCATTTAAACTGGGTGTTCGGATTTATATGTCACTTAGTATATTTCACATGTAAAAAGTGTCGAAATTTATAATATGATTTTGCTGTAATTTGTTGATTCCTACCCCTGTGTAATAGAGTTAACTCAAAACTGTCGAACCAGATCACAGTTTTCTTGACGCTGAGCCGAATCTACTTGATTAGAATTCATTTAAAATATTTTGCACGTTGCCACCGCAGTTCCATTTTCAATAACGCCTAATAAAATATGAAATATTGCCGACAGACCAAACGCACTGTTCAAATCTATAAATCAAAAACAAGCAGCAATAAAATATACCCAGATTTACATAATAATATCCCAATAATTTTGCCTCCAATATTGTACATATAAAATTTGAAATTGTATGCCCGGAGTGCAGCTCGTAAATACACGCGTTTCTGTCCCGCATTTTGAATTTAGGGTGTGTTCAGCAATTAAAAACGTTTTCACTGGTATTTCAAGGCCACGTTACGCTTTTCATAAAAAAATGGCATCGAGCAGGTTGACCCCATACTTCCCACAATATTTACTATCGTTTTCCATGTAGTACGATGGCATCGAAAAGGCGTCGGTTTTGTCAGAAACACTAGTGCAGTATTTGGTTTTTTCATAAAAAAAAGTTTCCTCGAGCGTGAACGTACACAGTCGTTACCACCGAGAGTACCTGACAACAGACGCGTGACGTCACCACGAGTACGCCGGTCGGCCGGCCGACAGTAAAATGATAAATTCTTCAATGAATAACCCCATGTTAGTCCCAACCGATCAACAAAATTTCACAGGAATATGTGGACAATTTACTATTAATATAGACATAATATAATGGTACTTGAAAATTATATAAAAAATGTAGTGCTTGTAGAACAGTTGTGTTCAGCAAGAACCAACGAGGAGGTCTGGGGTAAGCTCTTGCCAGGAAAGGAATAAGGAAGATGAGGAGGAAAAAGTGTAAGATAAATGATAAGAAAAACAGATGAAATCAAAGTAAAATAAACAACAGTAAAAACATAACAAAGATTAACGAAAACTTGCGGCCTCATGTGAATGTAGTCAATTTACGTTTCTTTACTTTATTCGCGCTTGCAAAGCTGTCGTTTCTTTTGACACAATAATTTTTCAAAAATGTATTGACTGTGCAAATAACAATTGGTTTTATAATATAATCTGGTGAAAATGAAGTGTCGTGATTATTATCACTCAGATTGTTAATTATCAACTGAGAAAGAGCGCGTCTCTTATAGGTGATTTCTAAAAATGATTCCACGTCACTTTCCAAAACTTTATTGAAAATTATATAACTTAGCAAGACAATATTAATAACTGGATCCTTTGGGAATTTTAAGCCACTCGTACTCAAATTCTGTATAATATTGTGCTTGTCTTCTATATCAATATCATCTGTGTGTGTCAAATTTTCCTTACAATGATCGCATAAGGCATAACAACAGTAACCAGCTAAGTAGGTGATGACAGGGATTTCATCCTTTATATACTAAGTGACATATAAATCCGAACATCCAGTTTAAATGGTTTTATTTTAATAAAAGTTGGTGAATGTATTTATCTTAGTGTAAATAACAAGTGAAAAAATTTTCAGCCTTATCAGTTGGACATTCCGGTTTTTATACTGCTTTTTTTTAATTCACTAACGCTCTAAAAATGAATATTTCAGCCGCAGTAAAGAATCAACGTTGGCGGATTTTGGCTCTTGACATCCTTTACGATCGGTTACGATGCCCAGAGTACGGAGACCTGTACGATTTCGTCAACTTAGTGAGTTTGATAGAGGCCGTATAGTGGGACTTCGGGAAGCTGGACTTTCTTTTTGGGCAATTGCAGTTAGAGTGCAAAGAAGTATAGACACTGTGGTTAGGTGTTGTCAGGCATGGCTTCGAGAAGGTCGTACGCAAAGATTAAGGGGCACTGGACGCCGCCGTAGAACAACAGACCGTGAAGATCGCCGTCTAAGGGACCGTTTCTCCACTACCAGGTCCATTGCAAATGAATGGTTTGCAGAACACGGAAGACCTATTGGCATGCGAAGTGTTTACCGATGAATGAGAAGTTTTGGCTTGTTTTCATACCGGCCACACTGGGCCTCCCTTTAACTTGAGAACACCGACGTAATCGCCTTGAGTGGTGCAGACAACGGTGGCTCTGGGATCAGGAATGGAACAGTATTGTCTTTAGTGACGAGTCTCGATTTTGTTTAGGCATGCGCGATGGTCGTGCCAGGGTTAGAAGGGGACGTGGTGAAAGGAGGAATCCACAGTTTTTTGTTGAAAGACATGTTCATCACACTGTTGGAGTTATGGTTTGGGGTGCTATAGCTTATGGTTCCTGGTCACCTTTAATCTTCATCAGAGGTAACATGAATGCGTAGCGTTATATCCACGAAGTTCTAGAACCCCATCTTTTACCCTATCTTGACACACTGGCAGATCCAACTTTCCAACAAAATAAT